TATAGAGTAATGTATGAAATACATAGATTTTAATACAAGATAAATAAAATTCTCTAAAAAAAGAAATATATAGGCAAAATATAGGAAACACATAGGAAAAGAATTTTGGAATAAGTTTTATATTAAATTTTTAGAAATCAAATTTTCTTTTATTTATTGATTTTTAAAATTAACCAATGTAGTAAACTTCTTTCTAACTCTTTTTATTTTATGTTGTTTTGATGCAAATATGTACCGCAATCTTAATTGTATATATGTGTGTAGCACAAGTTTTATTAATTCTGTTCTATGATCCTGCAGTGGTCCTTGTTCTAACATATGTAATACATCATCAAATATATCAGATGTTACATAACGCAGAGCAATAATAATCATTCTTTGGATAGGATGCCGTTTATTATGTTCATGTGGATATCTTCTTATTATTCTTTCTGCGATATTACATAATTTAATAACATCACTTGATGCATTAATTAGTCCTCCTCTACATTTTCTTTGTTGCAATGCTGACATGCAATCCGTTCCAATCAATAAATGCTTGCAAATACAACATTTAATTTTTTTTTTACTTTCCGGTAAACAAAACCAGAAATATATGCTACAACATCTTTAATATAATTTGATGTACACCATTTGTCACTTATATTGTCATCTGATTCGGAGACATTTGATTCAGAGATACAATCATTCTCATTTTTATTTTCAGAATCATTTTCATTTATATCTTCTTCTATTTTATCTTCATAAAAATCCATAGATTTTTTTTCATTTGTGATATTTAATATATTTGTATCATCCTGTGCAATAACATTACCATGAGGCAATACTGTTAGTTTTGTATGATGTAAAAGTCGTCTGTAAGCATAACTAAATTGCCTGGCTGATGGATTATTGTTATGACCACCTTTAGTTCGTATAGCCGAAAAAAACATCTCAAGGTGGTCTTGAGATTTTGTATGTTAGTAAAAAATTCTGTTTCTTAGTTGCAATTAGTGTTTCGGCTATATCTTTTATATTTTGTAAACATGTTAACATACCTAGAAAACCTATCTTCCTTTCTGAAAGAACCATCTTTTTGTTATCGATATATAAATCATTTATATATTCAATATATTTTGTGATGTTTTCTTTAATACGGTCAATATTAGACAATGAGATTGGTTGTTGACTTTCATTCTTACATAAAAGATTTCTACTATTGAGTAAGTCAAAAATATTATTCATATTTCGAATAAATAATGAGGTCGCTGTCGAATTATCAAATTGTTGCAGCTTTAAATCTATTCTACAGAAATCAATTGCATTGGCAACGCTATTGCTGAAAATTTGAACAGCTAATTGTACGTTCATCTTTTCACGTTGCCAATTTAAATGACGCCTATTTATTTTCACTGCTGTGTGAAGACCTCGTTCTTGAAATTCTATTAGATTAACAATATATCTCCGCTCTATCTTATTTTCAGAACTATCATGAATATTTCTTTTAGTGTCATATGTATTTCGAATTAATTTTATCATATGGCAAGCATCCAACATTAAATAAACTTTTTCCTTCGGTATTGGATGCATAAAATAAGATATTAGATTTTCTGCCGATATGTTTGTACCTAAATAATTCATTGTTGAGATATTGCTTGCACAGCCATCCATAGTGATATTAACTACTACAGCACCTATTTCATGTAGTGATCCAAGTACTATTTTTATTAGATTTGCTCTTTCCTTGCCAGATAATGATCTTATTACATAGTATGCTACTGGTATTTTCCAATTACCATTAATACAAACAAGAAGAAACACACATACAGATGTTGCTTCTAGCAGATTATCATTATTTTCGGAATTTATCTTGTAATTAATCTCGTAATCGACGTAACCATAATGTTGATCATTTACAAGTTCTGTATATTGCCTTATTGACATATCATCAATAGTTAAACTAAAATTTAATGTTTTACTGTCTGATGCTGCTTCGTGTATTTTTGCTTGGATTGTTTTTAAAGCTTCTGTTGTTATTCCTGGTTTACAGTCTATTGAGGCATACCATCTTCTAATTGTCTGTGGATGTGGTAAAATATTCAAAAAAGTTTTGCGAACATATTCATATGCCTTTGTAAAATAAAATTGCAGAGTTGCTGCAAAATTTTTTAACGCAACTGGAAATGCACCCTTTGCTTTTTTTCTTAAATGCCTTTTCAATATTTCCTTTTCTGTTTCTGAAATACTATTCTAAAAAAAAACAGGAGGATATAAATGTTAATATTGAATATATAATTAATTTTTTATCGATTCTGTGAAAAAAGTGTAGGCATATTTTTATATTTCAAATATTTTCCATATCGAATATCGATGTGTTACATATTTCAGAAGAATCTTGTTCGCACATATTCCGATAGTACATATCTACTCACATTGGTAGTCATACAGATGCCTATTGATTTTTCATTGCCTCATCGATGAAAATATTTTATTTTTAAATCACAAATCAATTAGCAATGTGCACAAGTGGATTCAATTAATGTGATGTGTGATCTTACATATTTCGACTTACTTCCATGAAATTTGCAGCATCTTCCGATAGTAACTTTCTATCTTGTAAATGTTTGTTAAGTAAATTAATGATGTGACTTTTTTCTGTAATCTTCTACATTTTTGTTGATAACATTTAAGTTTTTTACTCAATTCTTCAATTCTTTCTTGTGCACACTGTAGTTCACTTTTAGGTTCAGTAAAATTCAGGGTACCCAATGTTTCACTATGTAACAAATAGACACAATTAATATTTAGGTACAATATATTCGATTTTAGTTGTGATTACTTTACCTATTTGTAATGTTGCCAAACTTAGTTCTGCGCTGTTTCGTTGAGGTAGAATCATTTTCACAAATAAAATCTGTAGATAATTTTTCATTGATACTCGTAGTAACGTCACATATATTTAACTGCGGTTCCTTATTAGTAAAAAAAATTAAAAATATTTAATTAGTATACAGATTCTCATAACAATACTTCCAATATTTATAATGACAAAATTCATTAAATTTAATTATTTAAAAATGACATGTTACATACCAATTGATTAAATATTTTTATAACAGACACATTAAATATGCTAGGCACTGCATCTGATTTCAAAAAACGCTTGCCATTGCTTGATATTGAAAAACAATCGCTTGTAAAATGTTGACTACAAATTAATGAATTTTCAGAACATGTAAAATTTCTTATTTTTTGGCTAACAATCCTAAGCCAATGCACTTTTTTATTTTTTGGAATCCTAAAATTATAGATAGGTTATTATTGAAATTTTAAGACTTTATGCTTTTCTAAATAATTATTCTCAAAATAAATTCTTAATTTATAATAATAAATTGTGCTAAAACATGCAACAATGTACAACCCAGTGAGAAATGACAATGGAATCGATGTCGAATCAACGTCGATTCGACGTTAATTCGATGATTTCGACGTCGAATCGATATCGATTCGATGTCGATTCCATTGTCATTTCTCACTGGGAACGTTTACTATATTTTGCTAATAATTTCTCTTTCCTGAGATTTAAAACTATTAACAAGGTTGGGAAGTAACGCGTTACTTGTAACGCCGTTACCGTTTTCGTTACTTTTTCAGTAACGATCGTAACTTTTTTCTGTCGGTAACGGTAACGTCGTTACATTTTTACAGTAACGGTAACGAATTTAGCCGTTACTTTTACCGTTACTGTAGTTCCCTATTATTTTTATACCTATTCAATGTCTACGTTTACACCGTGCACTTATGCCAGCTGCACACCAGCGCGATGTTCGTCGCGCGCGACACGCGATATCCGCGACCTATACGATAGGTGCATTAGATGGCGCGGATCATGATCGGGATCGCGACTGTCGCGAGCCTTCCATTCTTGATCTCGCTATTTTTTGGTCGCGGATTAACCATGTTTTAACATGTTCGCTCTTCACAGTTCACACAGTGCGCAACGGCCGTGAAGTGATATTTACATGTTATATGCTATGTGTTGCGTTGTTTCTTGATTTTTGAAGTGTTTTTCGGGTTGTTCGATTTCAATTTGTGCTAAATACATGTATAAACAACTGAACGCGCATCTTTAATAACGTCATATGAATCTTCAAATCAGTGGATAAATTAGCTGTCCGCACCAGTTGCGTGCAAGTAGATTTTAATTTCAAAGAACCTATCAGATTATGTGCAATAAATGCAATATAATAAATGCAATATAATAAATATAATATGTTTATTCTTTTATTTTATAATTTATTCTTAATTAAAAAAAAAATTTGGAATTAATATATTATACTGTGTTCTAATAGTTACTTTAGCATTATCAAAAAAAGTAACGAAAAAGTAACGAATGGTTACTTTTCAAGTAACGGTAACGGTAACGCGTTATTTTTTAAAATTGGTAACGAGTAACGGTAACGAGTTACTTTTTTCAAAAAGTAACGGTAACGGTAACGCGTTACTTTTTTGAGGTAACGCGCACAACCCTAACTATTAATAATATTATATAAACGTACTTGTGTACACTAATTTTGTTTAATAGCTCAGTTTGGAGATTCTCGGCGTCACAAATACAACAACTTTTCGTCATTTTCGTATTTCTCTCTGAGAACGGAATTAACAATATAACAATATAACATGAGAGAGGTTATGTGCTCTTGACAACACTAGTCGCAGAAAGTGTAAACCAATGGTGCAAGAAGGTTGGTTGGAAAGAATATACCGAATATATCGCGAGATAAAGTGAGATAACAAGGGTCTACTCAAACTGTCAATTTCCGGCTTCAACTCCCACCACTGAAAAGTATGGGAATGCTCGGTGTATGTATATATGTCGTTGCTCGCGACTACTATTTGGTCGGCCGTCCATTTTTCCGAATCGCAATCGCAGTCGCAACCAATTATATGGCGTCTGTATTGTCACGTGATGCTTGTAAATGGTTTGAAACTGAAGCAGATACACGTAGTAAATATACACAATGTCAAAACAATGTAATAAAGAGCTAGATTACCGCTTAATTGACTTTGTGGAATCCAAACCCCTTCTTTGGGATTGCACAAGTGATATTTACAAACGAAGTGACTTAAAAAACGCAGCATGGGACGATATAGCCAAGCAATTGGGTCCAAATTTCACAGGTACGTCTCACAATGAGAGGAAATAAATAGTACTAATTTATATCAATTATTTACAGTTTATTAATTCCTTAAACATTTAAAATTAAAAAATTACAATTAAAATAAAAGTTAAAATTTGGGGTTATATAGGTTAAAATATTTAATTAGAGAGAAAGAGAAAGAGAGAGAGAGAGAGAGAGAGAGAGAGAGAGAGAGAGATTAAAGTATTTATTAAGTTTTTTATTGATATTGTTACAGATCTTATGGTGTCACAGCGTTTCAAAAATATAAAAGATACATTTTCAAGAAATTTAAAAACTATGAAAGAGTCAAAGCGTAGTGGAACTGGCACAGACAACATATATAAGCCCAAGTGGCATATGTTTGAGAGATTAATGTTTCTCAAAAAAACTTGTGCTCAGGCAAATTCAGTTTCAAATATTCCCTCTATGCAATTAGATGCTGTAACATCGAACTCAATAGTCAACTCTTTACAATCTTGTGATATAGTGGTGGAAGATTCTATATCTAATGATATATCTTCTTATAATATTTATTATGACGAAGCATCACAGGTAAGTCATTTAAGAATCACTTTCATTGTAATTAGCTTTCTTTTACGTTCTTTTTTTTTACATTCGATGAATGAATATTTCTATCTTAGAAAATAAGAGTGTGGAAATTAATTGTCTATAATATTTTTCAGGCAATATCTCAGAGCTCACATAGTGACTTTGAAGGAGTAAGTGCAATTACAAATACATCACTTGAGATGGGTCCGCCACCTAAATTTCCTTCAGAATCTGTTACTACACCTTGTTGCATTACTTAAGAAAAAGAAGCCCCTCAACAACAAATAGAGAATGTCAATGCAACTACCAGAAAGCGACCATCAGAAAATCAATTATTCTCTAAAAGAGGATCAAAACAGAAAACGCCAAATACATTAATGACAGAGACTGTAGAGGTTCTAAAACAATTTTATACATCAGATCCACCTTCTTCAGCCTCATCCTCTCAGATCGAAACTGTTACTGATACAGCTCATACCCTGGCACTATTTGTAGAAACCAGGCTTCGTTCATTGCCTTTTGAGATCCGAAAAGAATGTGAAAACGAAATTATGAAAGTGTTAACTAAGTATTAACAAGAGTTTTAAATCTAATTTTTATTTTTTTAAATATTTTTTTTATCAGATAAGTACTAACAAGGGTTCTAAATCACATTATATTTGTGTTTCTTTTTAAATTTTTATATTCGTTATTATGAATGTCTAATTTTGGTGTTACATATTTTGTTCCTACATATATCTAAAGATAAAATAGTATCAACAAATTATTTAATAAAAAATGAAAATTTATTTATGCGCTACGTTATGTTGTAACAAATAAGTTTTATTTTACTTAATTGCCGCCGGCAAAACAAGTTTTATTTTATTTAATTATACAGGATGTAACAGAGCGGTCACTTTCTTACACTCTGTATAATTACAAAGGATTCTGTGTGTGCGAATAAACATTTTTGTGGAAACAAATTTGCGCTGTATTTTTAATTTCTTTAAACATATGAAGATATGTATATACATATACAAGAAAATTAAAATATATGTAAAAAAAAGTATTAAAAACTTATTTTAAGTAAACTAAAAAGAGATTACAAACTTTCTAGCTATTTTAGCTGATAAGTTAATTTCAATGATCAATTGCTCTGTCTTGCCATGGTACCGTCTCTACATCATTGAAATATTTACACCACATTTCTCGTAATGCTAAAGCGTGATTAGCATGACGATAGCCTCTTGGATTTTGAAACCCTACTAAACCCTGAATTTGTTCATTTCTCTAGTCACCAGGGAAAATATTTCCTCCTAGCTCATCTTCTGTATCTATATATGATGGTGGTGTGTACATGGCACGGCTAACATCAGTCCGAAGCATATTATGTAGACAGCATATAGCTATTATAATATCACAGGCATCATCTGGATCGTATCTCATTGGAGATCTAAAAATTTGAAAACGACTGGCCATGACACCAAATGCATTTTCAGAGTGTCCTCTGGCACGAGAATGTCTACAATCATATCAAAGAAAAAAATTAAATTTCTCTCTCTCTCTCTCTTCTGTACCTTTTTAAGTTTTCTTTCTTAAAAATTATCTTCGCAAGAATATTCAAGAGATTTCGTATTATTCTTTTTTCAAAAATAAAATTCACCTGTAGTTGAAAATTCTTCGGTCTCTTCTACCAAAACATTGTTCTTTAGGGGGAAAGGTATAAGTACATTTTCAGATAATATAAAACCTTCATCACCTACGATGACAAATGGAAAATTGTTATCAGTGCCTGGTAGAGGACTTGGTTGAGGAATTTTCAGTTCATTTCTTTCTAACAAGTTCTTGAATGTGCTTTTGTTCCATATTCCTTTATCAGACACTCTTCCATTTGTACCGACATCGATATAAATAAATCTCAGTTGAGCGTCAACGACAGTAAGTAAGACAACACTAAACGTGTCTTTATAATTATAATACAAAGACCCAGACTTCAAAAGTGGATCAATGCGACAATGCTTTCCATCTATGGCGCCAAGGCAATGTGGAAAATTCCACCTATTTTCAAAGTCGTAAGCCACTACTTTCCATTCCTCTTCAGAATTAGGAATTTTTAGATATAAAGGTTCAAGAATAATTCTTAGAGCATGACATGTATCTTTTATTATATTTGAAATAGTGCTTTGCCCTAGCCTAAAATTCATAGATAGAGATTCCTGAGTTTCACCTATAAAATAAACAAAAATTTTAAATCTTTCAACTTATATATACATCATAAAATATTATAAGGTACATATATAAAAAAATCTTATCTGTTGCCAAGTGACGCAATGTCACTGATAACCTCTCTGAAGGTGAAATGTTTTCTCTAACAAGGGACCATCTCGGTTTGTACAACAAGTTATTGAAAATGCTTGATATCAGCGAAAGTTGATAACATAAGATGCAAATAAGGAAAATGGCGGG